TGGTCGTGGGGTGGATCTGAGAACCCCGCGCGCACGCGTGTCTCCCTCCTTTCCTGGGCCACCGAACTGGCCCGGTACTCGGCGGCCATCTGGCTGTCGATCTACCCCGCATTCCTCCTGAGGAGGAATGCCATTCAAGCATGCCATAATCTTCCACGGGGCCGTTCACGTGGGGATCTTGTAATTCAACCTGTGACTTGGTTTATAGAGATTGGGGGATACCACTACACCTGCTCGCCTCACCTGTGACCTCGAGCAGGTGAGGTTGGTGCCTCGGCCGGGGAGGCGCAAGAAAGAGGGCGGATTCCTGAGGCTCGAGGAATGGAGGGGAGGGGGGGGGGGGCGGTACCGAATTGGACCGACCTGGCCGATGGGCCGCCTCACTTGATGGGTCCGCGCAGGCGGAGTACGTGGAAAGCGGGTGTGGCCGGCTGAGAGAGGCAGCTACGTGCCATGGGGTGTGGTGGGGCTCCGGCCGCAGGGACGCCATGCGCAAGCTGGCAGACGGATGCGCGCCGCTGGCCGGAGGAATAACTGGCTCGGGGCTTGGCCGACTCTGTTGGACGTTACTTTGCCGCCGCGCGGCAGGTGGAGCGAGCGGGGAGGCGGGGAGGGAGGCTGGGTGCCGGGGCCTGTTCTTGGGAAGTGTCCATCGCCCGGGGTGGCGACCCCGCGCGGTGGACGTGTGACATAGCCTGGGCGCGGTGTGCGAGCCAGCGCACTCGGGGGCGAACACAGGACGCGCAAGAATCGGAAGATGCCCCGGGCTCGGGGCCGCGCGGCGCCGGATTTGTCAGCCAGCTGGGAAGGGCCTCCCCCCGAGAGCCGGGGTGCGGAGAGGCCGGGCGGGGAGCCCGGGGGGGGGGGGGGGGCCACCGCCGCCCAGGAGGACAGGGGTCGGGGAAGTGGCTGTCCGAAATGGGGCGGGGGGGGGGCCGGAGCCCGAGGCGCTGCGAGGCCTGCCGGCTCCCGGGGGGCGCGGACGGACACAGGTGCATGGTAAAAAGAAGGAGGACCGCGGGGGTGGGCTTCTCTCGGGCGCGCGGTCCGGCAGGGACGCGGCGGGCGCGGGCGCATGGTGGGCATGCGCAGGCGCGACTGCGCACGAGCCGCGATTGGGTTGCGCCCGGGTTTTTTTTTTTTCGTATTTTTGTTGTGTGGACATCCACCTTGGCGGCCGGCGGGGCCGGGCCCGGGCGAGCAGGGGCAGGAGTGCGCCCGATGCCGCGGCCCCCGCCCCCCCCCCCCCACGCCGGGGAGACCGAGAGAGGGGCAAGCGCGGCGGCCGGCCGGCCGGCAGGGTGGGCGAGCGGCGGGGTCGCAAACAAACCGGCCGGGGCACGGCCGGCTATCCCCCTTTGCGGGGATCGCCCGGCCAAGGCCACCGTGAAAAGTGGGCGGCCCCCGGGGCGCGAGGGCGCGCGCCCATAAAAGGCGGCACAGGTGTACGGGGCAGGCGCACTGGGGGGGGGGCGAAGTGCACCGTCATCGGGGGCCCATGTGTATCCCTCAGCGGGGGATCCCAGCCCCTGCGCTGGTCCGGCCAGGGGGGGGGAGCCGTGTGGCTTCCGCGTAAAGCCGCGCCGCGGGGGACCTCTCCCTCGCTGCTTGTGCTCCGGCGGGAGGACACGGTGGGCGGTTCGCCTTGCGCTTCTCTGGGGCCGGGGCCGAAGGCCGCCGCACGGGGAGGGGCCGGGAGAATGGGGGCACATTCCACCGGGTGGTGGTGGCGGTGTGGTGCGTGCGGGGCCGTGGGAGCGAGGACTGCTCGGTCGTGAAGCACGGGCCGGTGGGGCGACCGGAAAGATATGCGCGGGCCGGGCCGGCCGGCTCCGGGCTGGGCGCAGCAGGCGGGCGGGGCGGGGCGGGGGCAGCCCCCGCGCCGACACGGGCGGCCAAGCCCATGAGTGCCTCGGACTTGGGTGAGGCCGGGCCGGGCAATTTCGAGGCGGATATGCTTCGCGTGTGTTTCGCACTTTTATAAGACATATATATTCGCTCAATTTGGTCAAATCACCGTCCGACTCCCGTGTGGGAGTGGACCGGCGCCCGGGCAAAGCACCCTGCGCGATGGGCAATGCCCTGGGCGCGATGGGCGCCCCCCCCCCGCCCCCGCCCCCCCGCCCTGTGGTGTGACCCCCGGCACTGGCTGCAACGCATCCTCCGGCGCCCGGGCCTCGGTCGGGGCGCATGAACGCCGAGGACAGCCCGGTCCGTCAACTCCCACACCCCGGGCGGGAGGCCTGTTCGCCGCTGGGCCCCCGGCCGTCGGCGAGGGCCGACCCGTCGGGCGGGGGCTGTGGAACCGGCTCACCGCCGACACACCAATGGATGGGAGCCGGCGGCGCCGAGGGCTCGAGTGCGTACCCCCCCGGCATGGACGTGGGTCCGACCGACCGGGGGGGGGGGGCGGAGGCGGGGCGGAGGCGGGGCGGTCGTTCCGGCGTGTTTTGGTGGTGCTCACCTTGGGGGGGGGGGGGGGGGGGGGGGGGGGGGGGGGGGGGGGGGGGGGGGGGGGGGGGGGGGGGGGGGGGGGGGGGGGGGGGGGGAGGGCGAGACCCGGGGCAGGGGCGCCGGAGGGGACTAGACGCCCCCAGCCGGAGCCCCACTCACGCCGAGAACGCGCCGAGTGGCAGGGCCAGTGCGTGAGAGCGCGCCATAGCCCACCCGAAGGAGCCCCCCCCCCTCCCCTCGCCCTCGGCCACCGGCGTAGTTATGCATCGCCGGAGTTCGGCCGTGGTCCAGCCCCGGCCACTCGGGCGGCCCGGCGGGAGGGTGGCGTGCGCCGGGGCCTGCCGAGCGCCAGTCCCCGGCCGGCGCCCTCGCGGATGCCGGCTGCCCCGGTCGGGCGATTTATGCCTGGCCGGTGGCCGGGTGGCATTCGGCCGGCGGCAGCCCCTTCACTCCCGGGCCGCTTTCGTCGGCCCGGTGCGCGCGGTCGCTACACACACCGTGAGCGGCGTTCGCGCGAGGTCGCCGGCCGTGTGTGGGCGCGCTCGCCCGCTGGCAGCCGGGCATTCGCCAGGCCCAGGGGTCACACCCGGGCGGGGGGGAGGGGGGGGGGGGGCGGAGGCCGGCCAGTAGCCGGGCCCACCGGCTCGGTCCCCGGCGCCCTGACACATTCTCCCATGTTTTCTCCGCAGCCCGGGCCACGCGCATTCGGGCCTTTGCGCCGGCGCGATCTCCGCCCGCCCGGCCGCGCGAGAGAGTCCGACGCGCGGACCGGGCCTCCGGCGGCCTGGGCGCGGCGAGGCCGTGCACCTCGGGGGCCGGTCCCGGCCCGTTGGACGCGGCCGGTGAGTTCTTCAGGGGGGGGTGCTTGTCTGGCAAGCACCACCTCCCCCCCCCCTCCGGGACTCGGTGCGCTGGAGTGGGGACGGGGTGCGGAGGGGGGGGGGGAGCAGGGCGGCGCCGGCCCCGCCGCAGCACGACCGCCTGCCCCCCTGCCAACTCTCGCCCTTGCGCTTGCCCGGCGTTCTGTCCCCTCCCCCCGTGGCCGGCCGGAGGCTCGGCCCCGTACGGCGCAAATGAGTGTGTCCTCCACGGCCAGGGGCGCGTCAGCGTCCGACGAGGCGGCCGGCTCGCGGTGCCCAGGCTGCCGGCGCCGGCGCGTGTGTCGACGCACGCGAACAGGGGCCCCCTGCCGGGCTGCGAGCAGGCCCCCCTCCCCCTCGCTCGAGGCGGAGAGGGGGGGGGGGCTGGCGCACTCGCGCGCGCGCGCCCACGCCTCCCAGTTCGCGCAAACATCTCCCCCCCCCCCGCAGGCGGGCCGGTCGTGTCCTCATCGCTGGGTCATGGGTGCGCGGTGCCTGGACCGGGACGTCCTGCCGGAGTTCCGGGGAGCGTGCCGCCGGCGGCCAGCACGTCGAACAGGCTGCCCGGCGCTCCCTGGTGCGGGGCGTTCTCCGGAGGCCGTCTGTTTGTCGGCACCCTCCGGCTTGCCAACTTGTTTGTTGTTGTCGCGCCGGCGCCCCCGCCGGGCCGCCGGTCTGCCCAGGAGTCGGCGGTTTGGATGTAGGGCGCCGAACCCGGCGGGCCGGCCGTCCCAAGCCGGGCCCCGCGCCTGGCCGCGCAGGGGGGGGGCCGGCGGTGGTGGCGACAATGCGAGCACCGGCCAGGCGCCCCCCAAATGTCAGGGGCAGGCGATTGGAGGGGGACCCGGAGGAGCGGGTGCGTGCCCCTTGGTTGCGCCCTGTGAAGCCTGCCCCGCCCCC